ATAATCAATTAAAAGAACCTTGCAATGGACTCAGCACATTATAACTTACATGTAACATACTAATGTTATAGAATCAAAAAACTTTTAACTCCAAAATGTAAGGTACAACATTTTCCATCTTACCTAAAGATAGACCGACGTAGAAGCAAGGTGTATCTGATGAGCAACTCCAAATATATATATACTTAAAAAAAAAAGGTGACTTCTAATATCACACCAAAAAAAAAATTTATTGCAACTAGGTAAGATTCAAACCATATGATAAATGCAATATGTGATGTGCATCAATAACTCTAATAAAGACATTAAAGGGAAAATAAGGAAACCACGAACCATAATAAAAAAAAAATGCATACCACAAAATTTTCATTTTCAAAAAGTGACTGTAGATTTTGAACTCCACCTGATCTACCTACAAATGCTATATGCACATGACAGCAAGAAGCGCATAAGGAGATTCCATCATTGTCAATGAATGTACCCATTCCATGCATGTTAAGTAATGTTATATTGAACAACTAGAAACAACTGAAAAAGGTTGCAAGATTCAAATCACATAACTGTTAATCAGGGTAAAAATTACTTGGCAAAAATTGCTTGATTTATTTATTCACATGTAATATATATACAATATATTATTTTTTTGTATCACCCCCCCCCAAACTTAAATTTTTAATCAAATAAAACATTTTATCATCCTATATATATATATATATATAAGAAAGTGAATTTCTCCTAATTTACAAACTTATCAAATATATCTAACCTAAATTAGGAAAGGAAATAAATCTGAAATAAAAAATAAAGAAACACAAATAGGAAAAGAATAAACAGAAATCAGGAGGTTTCAAAATTGATCTCCAATAAGCTCTTGGATAGTTAGTTGGTCCATACTAGGAAAACCACATGAAACTTCTCAGGTTTCCACACTCCCGCTCAAGCTGGATCTTAGATGTTGTATAGACCAAGATTGGCATTAAACTTTGAGAAAGTGCTTAGAGGAAAAGCTTTCGTGAAGACATCAACAACTTGTTGATGTGTCAGGATATAGCTTAGTTGTATAATTCCCCCATTAACCTTTTCAGAGATAAGTGTCTATCAACTTCAATATTTTTTGTCCTGTCATGATGCACTAAATTTTGGCAATATTGATAGATGATTGACTGTCACAAAAAATTTGTACAGGCCTATTAGAGGTACATCTCAGTTCCATTAACAATATATGAATCCAAATCTTTTCACGGATTCTCAAGGCAACTATATTATGATTTTGCACAGCTTCTAGAAATAACAGTCTGCTTCTTACTTCTCCGTGTAACCAATTTTTCCCATACGTATGAACAATAACTAGTGGTGGACCCACTGTCAATGAGCTTCCCAGCACAACTAGCATCAGACTTCCAAATCTTTGTTTTTTTATTTTATCAAAAATTAATAAATAACTAAAAATTTCTTGAGAAACCTCATAATCCTATATATCATTTTCAAATGATATTCCTCTGGGTTATTCTTGTGTTGCTCACAATACTGCACGAGTATATAATATATGATCAAGTATGTGACTGATAGATAAGTGTTCCTACAAATCTTCAGGGCATCATATCCACATATATACTCTCTTCTTCCCAGTTAGAATTCTTGTTGGGTTCCATTGGAATATCATCAAGTTTGCATCCAATCATACATGTCTACTTTAATAGATCTAGGATGTATTTCCTCTGAGATATAAAAATGTCTTCTTGGACCTTGCTACCTCCATACGTAAAAAAATATCTCATATTTCCTAGGTCAATTATTTCAAACTCAGCAACAAGCACTTCTTTGATTTTAAGAATTTCTTTCTTCATCATCAATAAAAATCATATCATCCACATACACGATCAGTGCAGCAATTTTCTCTCCCCGAGTGTATTTTATGAATAATGTATGAGCGGCTTAACTTTGAGAATATTCATTGGACTTCATAGTTTTAGCAAACTTTTCAAACAACGCCCTTATTGATTGCTTAAGCCCATAGACAGACTTCCTGCGTTTGCATATTAAGTGTTTGATGGAATCACTCTCAATTTCTGATGGCATTTCCAGATACACTTCTTCTTCCATATTACCACTCAAGAAGGCATTTATTATGTCAAGGTATCTCCACGCATCCTAAACTTGATTTTCACTTACTCTCCCCTGAACATCAGATTTGGGATAGTATAATTGATTTTCAAAAAATGTTACAACCATGGAGTTATAATAATTTTGTTAACATGAGAGTAACATGAGTAGCCATTTTTATCATAGGCATAACCAAGAAAATACATTTGATGGATTTTAGGTCAAATTTTGTATGATTTTGTTGGTGAATATGGACAAAAGTGACACCACAAAATCTTTTTACAGGAATATTAAATGAGAAGGCAATAACATGAGGGTTTTATCATTAATACATGGAGAGGGAATTTGAATCCAAGAACTCTGTTTGGCATTATATTAATGAGTAAAGTGACTGTGAGCACAATATCTCCCCAAAAACCTTTTGAGATATTGTGAATAGCATCATAGACCGAGATGCCTTAAGGAAATATCCATACTTCAGCTCTGCTATCTCAATTTATTGTGGAGTTTCAGCACAGGAACTCGAATTGATAATATCATTTTTTACAAGATATTGTTCAATTACAGATTTAAAAAATTCATTTGCATTATCAATTTTGATAATCTAAATTTTGCATTAGAATTGAGTGTAAATCATGTCATAGAAGAATAGAAAAAATTGTGCAGTTTCAGATTTCTCCTTCATGAGAAATATTCAACTGATTTTAGTGTGATTATCAATGAAGGATATAAGTCATATGTGTCCATGGATGGTTTTTAATTTTGAATGTCCCCAAAATTTAATATACATGATAGAGAAAAAATGTGAGATTTTGTACTGGGACAATAGATATACAAGACATGTGTGTTTAATCAATTGGCAAATTTCATGCTGATAGAACTCGGGCTTTTGTTAATAAAAATATGAGATATAACTTCGTAATATAAGAAAAAATTGGAATGACCCGAACGAAAATCCTATAATAAAACTTGGCTATCAACAGGCTCGAACACAATAAACTAAGAATCATGAGAAGGGGATGGTGGAGAAGAAACTTATGTATCAAGGGAATTGTTCTCCTTGAGCGGATATATGAAATTCAGCCCTACCAATCACCTTCTCTGAATTCAAAAGCTGAAATTCAAAAGATTTAGAATGGAATTTAGCAACAAATTTCAAGTCATGAGTAAGCTTGTTGATTGAAAGTAAGTTACAATATAGTTGGAAAATACATATCATTGACGAAAGCAAAATATCTTTTAAGATTTTGACATCTCCTTTCCCGGCAATCCTAGAGTAAGATCCATCAGCAAGTCAAACAAATTTAGGGTTAGTATTTTCTTGGTAATTGATGAGAGCATGGATATTTTCAGTAATGTGATCATAAGCACATGAATCTATTATCCACAGTTGAAATCTTCCATTGTTGGCAAGATAGAGAATATGATACGTTAGTGTATCATCAACTTGGTAAGCTCCAAAGTAGAACTAAACATCTTCATTTTGTACTTGACCATAAACCCTATTCGCGTTTAGGACAGGAAGCTGCAGGATTGCTGGTTGCTTCTTGTCGTAAAAGTGGAGGAACGCCTAAAAAATTACAAGAAGCCCTACAAGAAGTCTGAAAGCCTGCTCTAGCTGCCACCTAAACCTGCAGCTGCTCTGGCTGCAGGGAGACGTCCGACAAAGTAAGGAAGCAGCAAGGTCCACTACACAGCCCTGCAAAATAACAGTGGGAAAAGAGACAGAAACCACGAGGGCCCGCAGGGAGTTTTGCTATCTAAATGGAGAATTTCGGTGCTGACGATTGCAAGGAGAAGTGTTAAAAGATGAGAACTGCCACAGGACAGTAGGAGAAGTTCTGGCATATCAGAGTTGTCACAGGAACAGCAATAAAAGGCCCTTGCAAGGATAGCAGAAGGCCGGCAAAGGAAAGTTGTCGCAGGAACAGCAGGAGAAGGCTATTGCAAGCAGCTGCGGCAGTTAGCAGGGTATTCTGGCAGGGAAAAAAGCCTGCAAAGGAAAGCATCCTGCAAGGAGCAGCCTACAGAAACAGGGATGAGAGGCTTCCTGCAGGGAAGAAGAGTATCCTAGCTGCAGCTTGCGGGAAAGAGGTCTGGTTCTGGCAGGATGGAGGCGCTCTGATACCGCGTAAAAATTACTTGGAAAAAATTGCTTGATTTCTTTATTCACATGTAGGGTACATAAAAACAAGGAAAGATAAATAGGAAAGGAATAAAAACAAATCAAGAGGTTTCCAAATTGGTCTCCAATCAAATCTTTCATAAGATCTTGGACAGCCAGCCGGTTCATATTAGAAAAACCACCAGAAACTTCTCGGGTTTCCACAACCAAGGATATAACAAATGTCTTAAAAAGACAAATAAAGTTGCAAAACACCATGCTTGAGTGAATATAACACTAAATTTCGCAACTTCTAAGGTTCAATAATATAGCCAACATTATATTTCACAACAGCTTCCTTTCTGATTCACAGTTTGAACAAGATTACAAACAAGTTTTCTAAAGAAACAACAAACATAAGGCATTTTTCTCTAAGTGAACGTCCAAAGAACTTACTGAGCATTGCTAATCATCAAATTTTCATAAAGCATTCACTCTTAAAAGGAAGAAGCATAACATTGATTCGTCAAAGAGTTATGGCTGCAAGGTGGTAGAGCATACCTGAAGCCAAGGTTTAGAATATGACTATGAAACACGATAAATTAAGGACAAAATAAATGCTAACCAATTTTATCATCAATCATCAATGTATAAACAAAACATCACTAATCTCTCGAAATGGTAACTAAAGCTTTACATGTTAATTACATAAATAAATAAATATACATACATATATACATATGTATATATCTAATTCTAATATGAAAGCATTTACTTTAAAATCTGGAAGTACCTTGGAAATGTGATCTTCATCGACATTCACATAAGCCTCGCAGTTAATCACAATCCTGTTTGGTGAAAAGCTCCTGCGCCTCCTAAAATTATTGAGAGGTACTCCAGAAAGATTATCATCTAAATTGATCACTGCAAAAAGAAATCAAAAGGATTAAATCATACAATTGATAAAATGAATTAAAACACACGATGCAAATGATTGATCAAGTTCCACATCAAAACTCTGCATACAAAGTGCAAATAAAAAGGTTCAAACAAAGCTAATAATATAGAGGGGAAATGAACATATGCTATGGTCTATAAGGAGAGAAAAACGATAATTCTAGCCTCTTTCTAGTTTGTAAAGCGTTAGGAACCATGGATTTCATGTATATATGCATTTTTTATAGTAGGGGGAACCAAAAGAACCTGAGTAATCTGAAACCCAAACGAAACCAACTAAACCGATCTATTTGGTTTGATTTGGTTTAGATTTGGTCTAATATAGGTTTAAGGTTTTGTTAAACTAAACCAACCCAAAATAATTAATCACAATAAAAAAGAGATGTTTAAAACTGCTAATCACCTAATTTATATTAACATCTGGTTAATGGTACAGTGAAATACAACAATCAGTCATTTAGGTATTAGGCAACCTCCACACCTCAAGTTCATTTATCATTTATTCCTTGCTTGGACGGCTGGACCCTTTTACAAAATGTTCCGCGTGTTTTATTTTCTATCCTCTTTAATAAACTAAACATCTTGATTTATTTTGTTTAGACTGGTTATAATGGCAATTTTATTTTGGTCGCAAGTTTGGTTATAAATGTTGATCCGTTTGGCACCAAATCAACCCACGCACATTTCTAGTTTAACTAAAAAAAAACAACAACTAAGAGAAACATATCCCATAAAAAATAAGGCATGTGGAAATCCAAACAGTCAATAAAAAGAGCAAAAACAAGCTCCCCATGCATGGCAGTCATCCCAAATCATCATCATTATTGCCCCTTAACATAAATATGTGGGGCCAGCGTCTTAACTCATCATTCCATTCACTCTAATGGAGTGTTGTATGACGTGTTAACTTTTTTGCGAAAAAAAATTTACGCAACTTTTAGCCACATTTATCTTAGCCTATCAATTTTCCATCTTCTTCTATTTAAATTAATTATATATTCATACTTATTAGTACATCTTCAAATTTCTACCTTCCACATGCTAAAACACTAGAGTTTACTCTTTAATGTCTTGTGTCGAATAATCACTACTCACGCTCTTTGTGAGATAATCAATTCTAAATCTAGACTTTTCAATTTTACCAGATATTCATCTCACCATTCTTATTTTTTCATGCTCAACTTTATTATTAAAGACTAGTTTATCGCCCAACAAAGATATCCACATAAGATGGAAGAGGCAAACTGCAACCTTACAATATTCATCTCACCATTCTTATTTTGTCATGCTCCACTTTATTATTAAAAACTTGTTTATCGCCCAACAAAGATATTCGCATGGGATGGAAGAGGCAAACTGCAATCTTACAAAATTTATCTTGGCATCACCATGATAATCTTTCATCACGTGATACTCTATAAGGAAATTTTCAATTTTAACAACTCTTGCTTAACTAAAGAAGTTATATCCTTGACTATATCCACATTCATCCATACTGTTCATATATTTGGATATTTTTTAACTTTTTTTTGGTATGCTAAGATGCATATCAATTTTATTGAGAAAAGATGGGTAGTGGGTGGCAGTGCTTGTGAGCTGGAGACTAACAAAAGGGCGCAATGGCAAGCGTCACCAACGGTCAGTCAGCCACGACCAGCAATGTCGGGTGGTCGGTGGGGCCAGGCGACAGCCAATATTGGGAGGCAGTTGCAGGTGGAGAAGGCAGGGGCGGACTATAAGTTTTCACTGCATTTGGAATTCACTCAACATGCAGAGTGAGTTCCAAATTCATTAAAAATATGCACTCTAAGATAATCCAAATCCACCACACAGATGCTATGTTTTAGTTTATTTCAAAATAACCACTAAAAAAAAACAAAATCAGCATTTCTTTATTCACACTACTTATACTTGCAACCAAACAACCCCCCTAAAACTATCATAATCAACAAGAAATATAATTCATGATAAATGTACTATATGGATAAAAGCAACGCACGGACCAAAAGTAGACAAACGGATATATAAATGAATAGAAGTAATAAACCACACGTCTCTCCTAAATCCAATATCATCATCAAAGAAGCTTCAACTTAAATAACATAAGATCCAAAATAACCTGAAGTTTCAGTGCTCAACTCCGAGTCTTCATCCAGCACCACCAGCACTGGGCGGCGCGTTCTCAACTGGTTCCTTGTCTTGAACATTCAACGATAACAAAATGTTAGATTCTTACCGCAAAATTCTTTGGTCAAAATCTACTATACGGCCACATGTGTATTTGCACTCGAAATCCCGGGTGCCACGTTTGTGCAGTTACTGTAGAATCCTATTGAGCAAAAGTAAACCGCAAATAGCAGATGAGAAGGACCTGAGAAAACGCCCAAGTGGAGGGCAACATCTGAACTTCGTCATCATCTATCGCTTCAACATCAATTGGCGACGCAGTAATCTCGGCTGTGGCAGTCTCCGCCATACCGGAGGTCCCCTCCGACTGCCCAAACGGCGGCGCCGAGAGAGGGACATTGAGATCGACGGTTAGGAATGTCTTCTGGCGACTCGCACCCCTCGCGTACTTCTTCGTGCCTCGCTTGGTGGACGCCAGAGAGTTCATGCTCCGTGGCGTAACCTGATAAAAACCCCTGGAACCAAAAATCCGACCAAATGACCGATGAGTCGATGATCGAGAAAATACCAGTAAAATGAAATCTTTGGATTTCTTCTCGTGCTCTAGGGTTAGAGATTCGAGCGATTGGTTCCTCGATGGCCGTGGAGAGATTTTCAGGGAAAAAGATGAAGGACGGAGTCCATATTTTGGAATGCTTAGAGCAACGCCAGAAATCCCAATGGAAGAACTCAAGTTCGATCGATTCTCACCGCGTGGATTTTTCTTTTTTTTTCTAATATATGAGTTATGATATTTAATTCTATAGCGTTCAAATTTTTTTTAATAAGCAGAACACTGAGCTTTTCAAAATATTTAATTATAGACCATTCAAAATTTTCCTTTTTATCTATCTCACATTAAATCTTCTATGATTATAAATATTATATAAAAAATAATATGATTATCACATTTTAATAATCAAATTTATATTTTCGTTCATAGTTAAAATATTATTTGTGTAAAAATAATATTTTAAGTGTAAGATAAATAAATTCATAAGAATTAGGTGTTAGGTATGGCTCTTATACCGGAAATTTGGAGTCTTTTGGATTTGAAGAGGTGTCTCTTGGATTAGTGGGTTGGGGGGAGCGATTGCGTGTTTATAAATTTATCTGTGGGTTTCTATAGGTATGTAACTCCTCTGAAATAATAATTTTTTCTATATATATATATATATATATATATATATATTCTGGAGTTAATGTATATATATATATATATATTATGTGATTATGGCATGAGTATCATACAAATAAATATTAAAATTCAAATTTTAAATATATTAATACATATAAATTTATTATGTGTATAACATAAATTTGACTTGATTTGTCCCGGATTTATTTTATTTGAGCGATCAAAATTCTTATTTGAAAAGTATGTCCTTTCAATGAAGATATTCTTGCAATACTTTATGGGAGATTATCATATAAAGGTGAAAATTTTGGAACATTTGCTTTGCTAGAAATTGCATGTGCCAAAGATATTCTCTCTCATGGTGAGAATCTTTTAAATAGTTCTTAAGTCTTTTATCTTCAAAAGTAATTTTTAATATTTTTTATTCAACCTTAACGAGAATGAAAAGTAAGTTCGCGCCGACATTTGAATATGACTGCCAACCACCGACACCTTCTGCCGTCCGCTGGCCATTATCGTCGTAATCCCTATTTCTCGTTGTAACTACCACTCATTCACTGACCATCTATTCAAATTCCTACACATAAAAATTCCTATTAAGATAAATCCTATAATATCAAACATATAATTTAATAAATAAAAGGGAAAATTACATATAGAGCACCCAATTCTTATGGGTTTACATATCTAAACTTTTATTTTCACAAACATAGCACTTTACCTATGGATGAAAAGATGGATTTGACTATTAAAATGTGATAATGTGTTTTTTTTTATAACATGTTTATAATTATGAAAATTTAGGTGTGAGATATGTAAATATTAAAGTCTTTGGTGTCATGTATGTAAAAGCCCCATATAATTTTAATAACATTTGTTTGCAGATAATATCACAAGGTGATCCAATCCAATGATAATTACTTGTTTATCTATGAAATATAAATATAATTAAACCATTATGATGAACCATCAAAATAGTAAACCACTGCTAATTTAAGATCCAAACCTTTTCGTTTCCTGCTCTCCAAAATCATCCCACAAACTCCTCTTCGGCTGAAGCTTGAAGGAAAAGAAAAAAGAAAAGATTTTGCTTTCGGTTTCTTTTCTTTGGCTTAAAAGAAAAATTTTTCTTGTTGCCCTTTCTCATGGCTTTGAGAGAGAGGAAGGAAAGGTGAGGAAGATGAGAGAAAGGAAGAGAGAGTGATTGTTCTTTCTTGTAAACGTCGACGTTTCTTTTCTTTGGCTTAAAACAGTGTAATTCCTTGAAGTAATAAAATCTTCTGCAGCTCCGTGGACGTAGGCAATTTGCCGAACCACGTAAATCTTGTGTCGTTTTTTTCTAGTGTAATTTTTCTCAATCTGTTTTTCACTTTATTGACGTTATTTTCATAACAATTGGTATCAGAGCCCCGGTTTGGATCTGAGCAAGAACGATGGTCAAAGATGAAGTGAAGGTTTCGGGGATCGAGAAGTTCGACGGCATGAATTTTGGTTACTGGAGGAGCTGATAGAAGACTATCTCTATGGGAAGAAACTACATCTTCCGTTACTGGGAAAGTGACCAAAGAAGATGGAAGAGACTGAATGGAATCTGTTGGATCGACAGGTTCGGGGGGTTATTTAACTAACCCTGTCGAGATTTGTTGCCCACAACATCATCAATGAGAGAAAGTCTACATATCTCATGATGGTTTTATCAGGTATGTATGAAAAGCCATCGGCGAATAACAATGTGCATCTGATGAAAATGTTATTCTACTTGAAGATGACGGAAGGTGTATCTGTCGTTCAGCATTTGAATGATTTCAACACCATCAAAAATCAATTGTTGTTGTTGAAATTGATTTTGATGATGACATACGAGCGTTGATATCGTTGGCTTCATTGTCAAATAACAGGGAAGTAGCAACTCTGCAGGTAAAATTAAATTAAAATATGATGACATTCGTGATTTGACTTTGGCTGAAGATGTGCTCATGAAGGATTCTAGAGAGACCTCAGGTTTGAGTTTAGCACTGAATGTTGATTCCAAAGAGAGATCACAGAACAGGAACTCGATTAGAGGAAGGTCAAAATAAAAGCACGGAAGCAAGAGCAAGTCAAATTCTGATCAGCAAGCAACCTGCTGAAATTGTGACAAAACTGGCCACATAAAAAAGAACTACAAAAATCCTAAGAAGACAGAGAATGTCAGTGCTAACACTATAACTGAAGAAGTGCAAGATGCATTATTGCTTGTAGTTCATAGCTCCATTGACAATTGATACTGGACTCAAGGGCTTCTTTTCATACATCTTCCCATCTGGAGTTAATGCAAAACTATGTTACGGTGACTTTGGGAAGGTGTGTCTGACTAATGGAGCTGCTTTAAACGTGATGGGGATGAGAGATTTTGAAATTGCACTCCCTAACAAAAACAAATGGATCCTGCATGGATCCTGCAAAAGGTGCAAAAGGTTAGACACATTCTTGAACTGAAAAAGAACCTCATATATGTTGGGCAGCTCGACGAGGGAGGTCATTCAGTAGTGTTCTTTGATAACACCTGAAATGTTACCAAAGGAGCACTAGTATTTGCTCGGGGTAAGAAGACTGGTATGTTATATATGACTACAGGTTTAATTAACAGTGTTGATACTACAGTTGCAGAGAGCACAACAAACATGTGGTATTGCAGGCTTGGACAGATCAGTCAAAGAGGTATGAAAGAGCTTCAGTCTAGTGGCAAGCTACCAGAACTGAAGTCAGTTGATATTGACATGTGTGAAAGTTGCATTATGGGGAAGCAGAAGAAAGTCAGTTTCCTGAAAGGTGGTAAGGTGCAAAGAGAGGAAAACTAGAACTGGTACACACCAATGGGTGGGGCCTTCCCCAGTGGCATTACTTGGAGGCTCTCGCTATTACATCACATTCATAGATGACCATAGCAAAAAGGTATGAGTTTACTTTCTTAAGCATAAATCTGATGTTTTTTTTGTTCAAAACTTGGAAGGCTATGGTTGAAACGAATACAGATCTAAAACTGAAATGTTCGAGATCTGACAATGATGGTGAGTATATCAATGGTAGGTTCAAGGAGTATTGTGCAGCTCAAGGTATCAGAATGGAGAAGACCATTCCGGGGACACCACAACAAAATGGAGTTTCATAACGCATGAACAGAACCATCAATGAGCGTGTTAGGAGCATGAGATTGTACGCTGAACTATCACTAATCTTCTGGGCAGATGCTGTCAGCACTGCAGTTTACTTGATCAATAGAGGGTCATCTGTCTCATTAGACTGTAAATTACCTAAGGAGGTCTGGAGCGGCAAAGAGACATCTTAAGACTTTTAGTTGTCTTTCTTATGTTCTAATCAATCATGATGCACGTAGCAAGCTTGAGGCTAAGTCAAGGAAATGTTATTTTATTGGCTATGGAGACGAAGCATTTGACTATCGTTTCTGGGATAATCAAGATCGAAAGATTATCAGAAGCAAAAATGTGATCTTTAATGAAAAGATGATGTACAAGGACAAGACTTCCAAAGAGTCAGAGTTTGTGAAGTTTGACGATCTATCAGAGGTCACAGAACAGGGTAGAGATGGGAATAAAGAGGAGAATGGGTCTAGAGCACCCATTCATATTATTCCACGGGCAGGTTCAGAGTCATTCACTACTTCAGCCGTCATTCGCAGGTCAGTCAGAAGCAGGCATTCGTCGCAGTGTTACTCACCAACTTTGAATTACTTCTTACTGACCGATAGTGGAGAACCACAGAGCTATGAAGAAACCTTAGCAGATGAAAATTCTAGCAAGTGGGAGTTGGTCATGAATGATGGCATGGATTTCCTACTAGGAAATCAGACATTGGATCTAACAGAACTTCCATCAGGGAAGAAGGCATTGCACAACAAGTGGGTGTACCGGGTAAAGATTGAGCCTGATGATTGTAAACGGTACAAGGCTAGACTTGTTGCAAAAGGCTTTCAACTGAAGTAGGGAATCAATTAGTCTAAGATCTTTTCTCCTGTGATAAAACTCACAACCATTAGGATGGTACTGGCTATGGTTGCTACCAAAGATCTATTCCTGGAGCAATTAGTGTGAAGACAGTTTTTCTTCATGGAGACCTTGAAGAAGACATCTATATGCACTAGCCTAAAGGGTTCGTAGTACAAGGAAAATAAGATTCAATTTGCAGATTGAAGAAGAGTTTGTATGATCTGAAGCAAACTCCCAGACAGTGACACAAGAAGTTTGAAAAATTCATGCTCAATGCAGGATACAGCAGATGTCAGGCATATCACTGTTGTTATGTCAGGTACTTTGACAATTCTTATATCATCATATTGTTGTATGTGGATGATATGTTTATTGCAAGGGCCAACATCAATGAGATAAATAATTTGAAGAAGCGGATGTCAGGACACTTCACAATGAAGGATTTGGGAGCAGCAAAGTAAATCCTTGGCATGAGGATTGTTAGACACTGAGTCAGAGGCACGTTGAGGCTTTCACAGGTTGAATATGTTAAAAAGGTGCTCAGTACGTTCAATATGGACAAGGCCAAGCTAGTTGGCACACCTTTGGGCAGTCACTTAAGAC